AACAAAAAGTTATCTGCACATGCAGGCAGAGCGGCTCTGATAAGAGCTGACTGAAAAACGAGGCTGGAATGAGGGTGTACGGAAAACAATCTCCCTTAAGTATTTACATGCACACACTGAAAACACTGGAGACCTGGACCGCTGTGGCCTTGAACAAGGGAATGAGAAACAGAGCTGCAACCCACACTGAGTATAACTCTGTGATGAACATGAACTCATTAAAACAATAAAAGAAAGAGCTCATTGAACTGAAAAATGCACAAGAACATGATATCAGCTGTGAACAGCAGACCTGCACTGAGGACGGAGTGAAAGTCATCAACCAGCAGTCAGTGAACAGCTTGAGAAAGATCAAGGAGGACATTCACATCTGATGCCACCTGTTATCACATGACCAAACTTCCACACTTACACTCAGATCAGGCTCTGTGATATTCTCGTCTTTTGAGATGTCCCCGTGTCAGACTGGGTGACCATAGCATCATGAATCTTCGCAGAGCTTTGGCCAAGTGACATGGGGGAGTACACACTGGACCTGGACCAGTTTCCATCCATCTGTTTCTATGACCATTTTTAATTTAATTTGGAAATGGCAGAAATTCAAAAATGAGTCAAATATCATAAAAGGTTTGGCTAAGGTCGGAAAGTTTGATAAAAAGTGACGCAGTTGAATGGAGACAGATTTAATTATGACATAAAAAAATATTTCTTAATTTACACCCTTCACACAAACACTTAATATCCTTTATCTATGACACGCTGGCTGGTGTAAGACACACCCCTCTTGCCAAAAATGCTTGGGAGCAAGATTTAAACCTTCCACAGTCAGACGACATGTGGGATTCAATTTTGAAGCTTGTTAATTCAACATCGCTCTGACATCGCCCGGCATTGTTTGTTACAGTTTAAAGTGGTGCATAGGGCCCATTTACCAAAGCCAAACTTTCTCGTATATACCCAGATGTGAATCCCTGTTGTGACAAATGTAAAAGAGGTGAAGCCTCCCTCATTCACATGTTGTGGACTTGTCCTGGTCTGGGAAAATACTGGGAGGATGTTTTCCATGGGCCATCCCTCATCCTCAATTTTGACTTTGACCCAACTCCCTGGTCGCCCTTTTTTGGCGTTATGGGAGAAAATTAAGCACGCTGGACTCCAAACAAACGCCGCATGCTGTCTTTTGCCTCTCTTTTATCTCGGCGTGCAGTATAACTTAGATTGAGGGACCCTGCCCTGCCCACCCATGCTCAATGGCTGAGCGACATCATGTCCCGTTTAAGTCTTGTAAAGATCCGCTACTCAGTCTATAACTCAAACAAAAAGTTCCTGTAGATATGGGGACCCTTTCTAAAATACTTTCAAAATCTTTGGTCAAATTAAGGATGGATTTCCCCTTTATTTTATATATTTATTTTCTGTCAGTTGATTTTTGTCAGTATTGCGGACTATATGGACTATAGTAGGTTATCTATTTATAAATCCCTCCTTTGTTATTGATTTATTTCCTCCATCTCAGTGTAGTTTTACATCTCCTCTCTCTGGCTTCTCTCTGGAGCGCTAGTAACAACAGGTTGGTGAGCCAATCAGAAGAGAGGAGGCTCTGAGCCTCTCCTCTGATTGGTTGACTGTTTTCTGAGTGATCCAATAAAAAGAGATTTCAGGTAAACACTCAGAGAAACCAAATCCTACAAGGTTGGATGGTAGGTCCAGGTGGGCGGGGCTTGGGGTATCGCTGAGAGCAGTGACTGCTTTGTTGTGACATCACAAAGTTGACTGCTGGTTTTAAGGCTCAGGTTCTGAATACAGGCTGTGTGCATTTCTCTGTGGACTGAGGCTTTGATACTTTCACAGTATTAATATAGAACCTAGACCTGATCTATAATCAAACAACACATGCATATCTACTTTTAGACTATATGGACCTTTAAGATACAGAGGAATAAAAAATGCCAAATGCCAAATAAAGATGCTTTTAACTTGTCGTCTATTTCCTGCTGAAAAGATTTCCCTCCTGTCATCTTCACCACCTTTCTGACTTCACTCTTTCAACCTGACTGAGTGCTGCTCTGCGGCTTTCAGCAGCTGCTCCCTCTGTAAACATCTCTCTGACTTTGCTAATTCCAGACTGCAGGGGAACGGTGACACAGGAAATCAGTGGAAATGGGGCCCAAACAAACAAACGAGCGAACCAGCCAGCGTGCAGAGAACCTTTCCCTGTCACACCCGAGCAGTGACGGAGCTGGATGCTGGCTGGGTGGAGCTGGCGGGGGCTCTCTCTCTGTCACTCTCTCTCTATCGCTCTCTCTCTCTCTCTCTCTATGTCTCTCTCTCGCTCTCTCTCTGTGTGTCTGCCCATGCGTTATCTTCAGAGCTGGACCCCAACGGTGCCAGCATGAAAACAAACCTGTCACCGTCTGAGCGTTTAGTCACGACGCTACCTGAGCAGACAGTGGGAGGAGAGGCACAGACAGGATTGTGTGGCAGCAGTAGGCCACTGTTTCACTTTCATGTGTTGACTGTATGTTTCAAACATGGGTGGAAGCAGCCGGAGAAGAACCTCCACCCTGCTGTAGTTTTGGTGCCATGTGCTGCCCTTAGTTAGGGATTCACAATCTGTCCTTTGATTAGGACGTTTTTATGTTTCTTTTTAAATCCTCTGGGTGATATAAATCATTAAAAAAGGAAAAGATTTAAGATAAATGTCCTCTGAAAACATCATCAATAAATGTCCAGAAAACGTTGCTTCATTTACAGATTTACCAACAGAGAGCAGCATCAGTAATAGGTAGTAGTGCCCCTCACATGACGATGTTAGGAAGTGATGGGGAAATGACCTGGGCAAGGTACTAAATAATGACACTTCCTCTCTGTGTGTTAGCCACAGTCTGATGCAGCTTAAGACTGTTTTAACTAGACCACTCTTGGCCTCAATCTAAACGCCACCCTGCAGGCCATATACTGTATGTGTTGGTCTAGCCCTGATACACACATACATATCAAAGAACTTCACCAGTCCTGTGTGTGCTTTATTTGAATTTGTGCCAGAAGCCTGCTCTATTAAAATCAAGGCCTCAAATGGTTATAGCATTTACCTCCTCCCTTCCTCCACCACTGGATGGCAAAAATGAATGAAACTCCAAAAAAATTGGCTCTGCTGAGATACGTTCTTTGAAAAAGGAAAGAAAGTAGAGAAACCGCAGAAGGTGTTGTTTTTAAAAATATCCAAAGATTTGAGCAGCGGCAAAACATGAAGTTTTGTAAAAATTGAAGCACAGACAATAAACACAGACTAACGTTACATGCACAAGGATATGACCCTCCACCTAAACACACTCTGCCAACCAACATCCCCAGTTCACACTATTAAACTTCAAAGACTGAGCAGTAAGCCCACCCACCTATTACTACACACACACACACACACACACACACACACACACACACACACACACACACACAATTCTCACTGTGGTTCTCTCAGCCAAACACACAGTTTTATTAGAAACCTCTCAACAGCCAACTAACTTCACCTACAGCTAAGAATAAACTCAAGGACAGTTGCTTTATTTGAAGAGCAAATCAGACGGGCTTTGAAGTTCAGCTGTAGTTTTTTGGCCTTGCTGTTCCCAGACTGGGGATCGGGGACCTAGACAGGGTCTTCTTTAATTAATTGGATTGTTTATTGTTCAAATCTTAAGAAGCCAAAAGCAGAATAAATAAATAGGAGAAATATTGTTCTAATAGGAGATTTTCTCTCTGACACAAAGACTTTATCAGTTGGTGGTTTCTCAGTTGAGGGGTAAAACAGTATATTATCAATACACTTATTTAAGGGCGACCTGATGGCTGAATGGTTACGGCACTTACCACATGAGCTCAAACGCCCTGTGCAGCGAGTCCCCGGTTTGACTCCCAGCCGACCAGACTGTTTACTACGTGTCATTCTCCTACTCTCTCCCTGTGTTTCCTGTCTGTCTCTACTGTCTCTATCAAATAAAGGCATGAAACGGCCAAAAATGACTTAATATACTTATTTATCATTTACCAGTGCCTGGACTTTGCTAAAGATGTCTGGATGTGGCTAAGGACTTCTGTAGTGTGTGTACACTTGGCTTTGTTTCACTGGAATCGGCTAATGGTTCCTGGCTGTTGTTATAAAAGTTTGTGTTTTGCTAATGTAGGTGTTTGGATCTGTGGACTTTGCTAAGAGTGTCTTGATTTTTCTGAAGTCTGACCATGATTGATAATGAGTCAGGAGTTTGTTGGTCTGTGTTTTCACCTCTTTGCTAAAAGAGTCTTTAGTTTGCTGTAGATGTCTGTATTCAGATTAGTCTGAAGGTGTCAGGATTAGCTCCAGGATTAGAGACATTGAGGCTACGTCCACACTAATACATTTTCATTTTAAAACAGCGTTTTCAAACAAAAACGATCTCCGTCCAGACGAGCGTTTTAGCTCCATATCAGAAACGATTTCTGTTATCGCACCTGAAAACACGCATGAGCAATCACGTACCCTGGGCACCCGCGAGACAGGAAGCAGATCGTCTACTCTGCAGTTGATTAGTTGCAAAAAATACCACGAACGAGGAACAGCAAAGAAAACTGCAGTGTTAAAATGCAGAATTTAACTGAACAACAGCTGCTAGCAAAGACAACGAGGTCAGTAACACTAGTAATTTATTATCTATGTTGTATTCACCACTGGTAGTTGAGGCTGATGAGACCCAATCAGGAAGTGACCGTGGGTGTCTACGTCATTGTTTCCAAAGGTCTCAATTTTCACCTGTCCAGACTACAACACAACGCCGGAGATTTTAAACTAAAACTAGGCCAGTACTATTTCCAAAAGTGTGGACGGGAGGTGAAAACGAAGCAAGAGAGATGCGTTTTAAAACAAAAACACGGTAGTGTGGACGTAGCCTCAGACTGTTATATCACACACCTCAGGCCAGACCTCTTACCTGTCTTGTGGTGGTGGTGGTGGTGGTGATGGTGGTGACGGAGGTGGTGGTGGGCGGAGATGTGGACGTGTTGTGCCAGGACATCAGCCAACCTGCCGCCGGCCGCCCCGCTGCCCCCGCTCCGCGTGGAGGAAGAGGAGGACGAGGCCGTGGAGGAGGTGGTGGTCGTGGTGGAGGAGGTGCCGTGGATGGCGCGGCTGATCCAGTGCTCCATGCTGATGCTCCCCTCTCGGCTGGACGAGGTGCCACCACCGCCTCCTCCTCCGTCTTCTTCTTCGCCATCGCCTCCTCCTCCTTCATCGGCGTCACCCTGACCCTCACCCTCCGAGCCGGAAGAGGTGTCTGGAAAAAAAAAAAGACGATGGATATGAAAGAAGAGAAGAGATAAAAACTGCAGACTTTCTGTACAAGGCTGAAAGATTTAATCAAACCATAGAATCAGACCTTTGATTGATCCCGTCCTGATACTGTTGTACACAATATGTTATATTTAGAGACAAACAGGAAGACAGAGTCTGTGTATGTCCCAGTCTGTTGTCTGTAGCCTGGAAAGGTTTCAGCTCCCATCTGTTTAGAGTCGCCGCAGGGGAGGACTGGAGTAAAGTTTGGTGTGTGTGTGTGTGTGTGTGTGTGTGTGTGTGTGTGTGTGTGTGTCTGTGAGTATATGGGTGTGGATTTGTGAGTGCATATTTTGCATGCGATTTCCATAATGCCCACGGCATTATGAGAATGATAGTGGTGATATGAATAACAACAGAAGCTGACCCAGTTCTCACACCCACACACACACACACACAAACAACCAGGTACTGTAAGTGTGTGTTCACATTGTTGTTACTTCTTTGGGACCTTGTCAGGACCAGTGGTTCTCATGGGGAACAAAGCCCCAAAGTCCTACTGAGGCAAAACGTCCTGGTTGAGGCTGGCATTGGCCACAATGAATGGAAGTCAATGGAGGTCTTAAGAAGGATTGCTGCGAATACTGTGTGTTTGTGTGTGTGTGTATCCCTCACAGGGAAATGGAAGACACCCAGGAAAGACCAATCATCCGAACAAAGACAACAAAAAGAAGCAGGTCCTCAAACTTAAACCACCATGTAGGTCACGTGTCCCAGTCCTCAGATACTTGTGGGTTGGGTTAAAAAAAAAAAGTGCTACTACAAAAACTCACGGTAAGTAACTTCTGCCTCTAGGGGTCTCTCAATCAAAACAATAACAAAAGACGACGTTGGGTGACGTTGTGAAGTAGCGTGGGATCATGGGAGTTGCTGTGTTCACCACCATTACCATCAGCTTATCCTGGTTTGGATTCCTTCGGTGTCGGTGGTTCAGGAGGTTTTTACCAGCAGCTGAATTATCCTCAGAGGTGTTCTCCTCTCCATAACAAAGAAATTAGTGTTTCACCAACGTTGTACAGCGGACACGAGACGCCAGGGAAGGACTGGGAGCTGTGATTACTGCTAACCTTTGTTTAGATTTTTCTTTGAACCAGGCGTTCAGCAGGTTTTTACCAGCAGCTGAATTATCCTCAGAGGTGTTCTCCTCTCCATAACAAACAGACCAGGGGATTAAAACCAGTAGAAACACTGAATAAAGCAGTTTCCCATTAAAAATAAGTGATTCACCAACGCTCTTTGGCGGACAGGACGTCTCCAGCAGCTGGGAGCTGAGCTGTCCAACATTTCCTCAGCTTGTTTCTCTGGTAATTTCAGATCCAGACGCCTGATGACTAAAATCCTTCATCTGGTTCAAATATAGAGTTGAAAACCACCAAGGTGTAAAAGAGTAAATCTTAAAAATGTGACATGTGAAAAGTCCATTTTGACACTTCTGGCAGCTGGACAGTTTGGGACAGAAACAAGCCGTGACCATATTAAAATCATGTATTTCTCTAGGTTTGAAAATCACTGGAAACATTTGGGATAATGTAAGTACATAAATTTTTTGACATTGTAATGTGGAAACGTTACATATCATAATTTGGTTAAAGTTAGAGGACCTCATTGTACCAATAATAAACATGCAGTTAAGGTTATACACATAAACACTTCAATCCCTGCCTACCAATGCAAAACTCTGCACTTTTTTTTCAAACCAAATGCCAGGTGATGTAAAGTTCAACAACTTTTGCTAAAGTTAATTCTTATAACGAAGATTGTTTCCTTGTTTGGTCACTGTTACGTTAAAAGGTGACATTTCCACTTCGTCACGGATTACAGCTGACATTTGCGCTTTAAAATGCCACGGGACTAGCCGTGGTCTCGACATGTTAACTCCCATGGTGCTTTGCTGACATGCTTGATTGGCAAATCTGTGTCTCGTTATCAGCGGGGACCCCCACAGGGACTTCCAGGGACAAAACACAAACATGTTGACGAAAAAAATACGACGCTGCCAGGCAACACGGGAATCACACACACAAACACACAGAGAGGAAAAGTGAGAGTGAGCCGCTGACGCACAGCAGACCTTCAAAAAGCTGAAATTTATTTACTGATGTGTTGAGAAATTGAGAAAAGCCAATGTGAGCACATCAGAGTCGGCTTGTCATCTCTGCACGATACGGCACGCTGCTCGGCAACACGCGACTCTGCTGTCCTCGAATGAACCTCACTGCCTGGCAGAAAGCCGTGTGTGTGTGTGTGTGTGTGTGTGTGTGTGTGTGTGTGTGTGTGTGTGTGTGTGTATATGTGTATGACTACTTTTACCCCACCCTCGGGACATGTGCTTTCTAAATTTGCATGAAGGATTGTGTGTATTTCTGTGACTCCTCGTAGCTTGTTTACCTTGCCTTGTGTGAAATTAAAAAGACTCATAGGTCATGTGAATGTTCTGCACGTGAGTGCGTGGACAGACACTGACACTGTGTGTGTTCACTGTGCACAGAGAAGCTGAATATGCAGGCGTGTGTTCGTATGAGGAAAATGTGTTTGTCAATGTTTCTGAACAATTTATGTTTGTGACTGTTAATTGTTGCAAACATGTGTGTCTAAAAATGTGTGTGTGTTACATTTGTCAGCTACATTTACGTATATAGGTTGTAATCTAAGCAATGCCAAGTACTGGGTGTACAAGGGGTTGACAAAATAACAGAGACACAAAAGACTGTCCAACAAGCCTTTAGCTTTCAATTTGTTAAAATATAAAGGAGATATTCTTCATTTTTCTTATTTCAAACAAATCCCATGAAAACCAATCTAAACCAACAATGAATGTCTCCTACCAGGACGTTGTGTGTGTGTATCTGCACCCTGACACATCAGTTGTGCTGAGTGACATGTTCCCTCATCACCATGAACAAACACTGTGGTTTATTTAGATTCATTCCCACACACACACACACACACACACACACACACACACACACACACACACACACACACACACACACACACACACACACACACACACACACATCGTCCTGCCGCCCCAAATCCTCACTACAGCATGAAATATGGATTAATCCGCTGCTAAAAATAGAAACTGCTACAAACTACAGTGTCCAGGTGCCGTAGGAAATTACTGAACCTTTTTCTTTTTTAATGAAACTATGTTTTAAAGAATTTTTTTTAAAGATTTATGTGTTCAGCAGTGAAACATAAATCGGAGCCGGCTGGAAAGTCATAAAGTTCTGAAAGAAGAGACTCACATGTTGTTGGTTAAGGTGTGTTTATGGGATCTGATGACAATAAGATATATATAGAAGAACACTTACAATCCATCATTTTTATTAGCAACTATAATGAATAATAATTCCCATTAAAAACAGAATAAAATGTTACCTATCTCTGTCTTACCTATCTGTCTAGTTTTGGTGAAGAAGAAGTTTGAGTAACTGTGAATATGAAGGTGTGATCATCTCGCTGTGTATGTACAGTCTGCTTTAACTGATCTAATAAAACGCTCCCCACATTTATCCTTTAGCTGCTGTATGGTTCATCTTTGTGTTGTTAGTCTAACTCACGCCTCGTTCCCTGAGGCTCTGTGAAGCTCGGCCCTGCACAGAGATAATGGCCTCATTATCACCCTCATTAAATGACAGCAGTTCCATGAAGACATGGATGACTGGCACGCATGTTACAGGGATGGAATCAACTGTGTGTCCAGTGACATCCATATTGTGCATTTACGTATAAGCAGTATTCATCAGAAAGGTGAGGAGGCATGTGGCAGGTGAGGCTCGGTGGTAGCAGGGATCGAATCCGTGACCTCAACACTCCTAGTTTCAAAAATGCAAATACATCAATGTGGAGTGAAGAAACAAGGTGGGTTTTCTTTTTTGGGTGGGGGTGGGGGGGGTTGTTGACATGTGCATACATGCTAACTGACAGCAGTGATGCTAGGCCAGGAGAAAATAAAAGCCCAAGGCCAAACAGAGTCCAGAACTTAACAAAATGAATCCATATTTATTACGGCTCAGAAGTTTCTCTGCAGGGTTTCTGTCCTTCAACCAAACCTTCCAACTAAAACCTGCATCTACAACTCCTATAAATATATAGGAGTAATAGTTGTGCAAGTATATCATAATGCATCCTCTCACAACACATCGTTATTATATTATTATTATCAATCATTTGTTTACTGAATATATTAACCTCTGGAGTTACTTTCTGCAGCTTCTGCCCTGTTTAAAGCCTTTCTGTCTTTCATGGTGAAGACACAGACAGGATTACAAAATCATATTAGCATATTGTTTGTCATGGGATTTATTAATATTATAATTATCATTGTTGTTGTTTTTTATTATTCTCATTACATTCTCTCTATGATTATATTTATATTACATCATTAATGTCCATTATATCCCCATCACAAAAGACAGAGACATAACAGATACATACAACTACATAACTGAAAAATACACACTCTCACACACCCCCATGCACACGCACGCACGCACGCACGCACGCACGCACGCACGCACACACGCACGCACGCACACACACACACACACACACACACACACACACACACACACACACACACGCGCACATGCATCATAGACACATACCATACACATCATATTCTTTTCATTTCTATAGCTATATAAGTGTTAACTGTTTTTGTTTTCATTTACATGTCTGTCCATTATGTGTGCCCACAAAAAAAGAAGACACAGAGAGGAAGCAGGGAGAGAGAGTGGGGGTCAACATGCCACAAATCTAACCAGGTAATGATAGTGATAGTTAAACACAGCACCAAGATGTTGTAAGAATTTTTAGAAAGTGCTTGTTTGCAGTCGTCCTACGGGGATCCCATGAAACAAGTTTAAATGTGTCTGTCCATTTGAAACTCTGCTATTCCTGATGTTAGTGTTGAGTTTAACACAGCAGGCACCATAAAGATAAATTAATTCAAACTGTTCAGTGTAAAATAGTATCCACAGTAAATAATATGATATAACGTCATCATAGTGTGTGATGAAAAAAAAGTGTATAATGGTTTTAAGAGACTACATAAAATAGTTTTATTCACTTTCTGAGGATTAGAAAAATGTTTCTATACTCACGTCACTCTGAGGCAATGTACGCCATAAAAGATGTTCATTAAGTATTTAGAGATAAAACTGCAGCACACAGAGTCCACTTCTCATTTTATGTCAGTCTTCACAGCCGTATAAGCCCCGTGCCATAAAGTAAAAAAGTCTGCAGTAAAGCCGACATCCCGGCTCATCAGCACACGGAGTCAACGAAGTTTGTTATCGGTGTTAGAATGAATAATGGCTGTGGCTTTGTGTCAATGAACTCTCACATTTCTGACATCCCTGACCAAACTGATGAGACAAATCACAGAAGAAAACATAATCTGCTTATAATACCAAAGCAGTGACTGTAGCATGTGATGACCAGCTATTTGAAGTTGGCCGACAGGGCAGAGCGCTCATCCATCTCCATGTTTTCGCAGAGGGGACTGTCCTTTCAGTCGGTGGAGGCCCGTCCCATTCAATCATCGACTAACGTCACTGACACAAGCAGGACGTCAATACTGCAGCTACATCATCTATTATCAACTCCATATTCACACTAACTCGTCCTTTTTTCTCTTTTATGGTTAAATATCTTTTAAAAATTCAACAGCCATTAAAATTTAAAATGAAAATGCTCCTAAAACAACAATGCAGATGTTTCCAGCTGCCTGTCAGGCTCGCTGAATGACTTTCTTACTGACTGACTGTTTGACTGACTGACATGAATGTCAAACAGGTCAGATGTGACAGACTGACTGTCAATGTAATGTGACAGTTACAAGTCTTTCCCAGAGGATACACTGGATACACTGGATACACATGTCGGAGAAACTTTATAGCTGTCAAAACATATAAGCTTCAAGAGCATGAAACACAGAATAAATATGATAAATAATGAACATTTTGTAATAATGAATCCTAACGACCAACGAACAGATGTTCCCTCTGCTGCCACCAACTGGTTAAAACTTGAGCTTGTCCAACACTTTAATTCCTAACAGGACCCCTCACTGTATGTTCAGACCGAAAGCAGCAATTAGAGCGTCAATGCGCCCAGGAGCCATTTTCATTTTCTAAGTGAGCCGCCGTCTCCTGGCGGCGAGCGGCAGCATTGCCCGTTGGTGGTACGTATGTCTTCAGCAGTGTGGGCGTCCGCGGAACTTGAAGCCTTCACTGCCCAGGAAAATAAATCTGTAACTTTGTAACGTTGCCAATTGAAAAGATTTCATGTGGTTAACTTACGCCCTACTTGTAGTCAGCTGGCACAAAGATAGTGGTTGACATGTCTGTTTGCTTTAAATACAGAAGGACCAAACATTCCAAACGAACTCTGTCTATCTCATCTACATCAGGGCGCCAACGAACTTCAGCAGCATCCATGATGGGGCGGCCGCTTTTGGATACTAGCTACTAGCTTCAGCTAAAACTTACACTTACTTATGAACACGCTTGAATTCAAAAACATTGCATGCTTATTGTTAGCATGTCAGCTAGCCATTCATGAGATTTCAGCTTAAACATAGCCGAGCCTAACACAGTGCAGCTACACTGATAAAACTGAGTCGGTTCTGCACCATACAGAGTGTTATCTTTAGCTAAATGAAATATTAAAAACTTTTTTAAGCACATTTATCCAGCACTCTGTTGTCGAACCATCCAAACATGTTGTTTCTGGTGAGCATTGCAGCCTCATGAGGCCGCTTCCACAGCTCCACTCTTTAGTCTTGTTGAGTATCTAGAATTAGCTCTGAACAATTTTTGGCATTGTACTGAAACATCTGCTGAACACCTGCTGTGGCAGAGGTTCAGTCACAGTGTTGTTATATGATGCAAAAATGTGATGAAGTATTTATCAGCTAATTTTAACTTAATTTAACTTAATTTGGGGTGTGTGGTACAAAATAGTAAAAACAGAGTGTGTGAGTGTGTAGTTTGGTCTTTACCTGGTGGTGTGTAGGCATCCATGGAGGTCTGGACCACCAGCGAACGCCGCTTCGAAGGCATAGGCACGGCCATCTTCCTCTCTTTGTGCTTGGCCAGGGCCGCCTGCACGGCCTCTGTGTGCACATCTGGAGACAAACATAAGTTGGGTTTTAGAATTTCAGGGTAAGATTCATCTTTCAGAGCCCTTTGAGTCACAGTGGCACCAAAAATGATCCAACAACCAAAACCATTTTCTAGTGATAGAGGCTGAAAACTACAGTATCATGACCAACTACATCCTGTATTTTTTTATTTTTTAATTTGCCTAAATATTCATTTTTAAAGTGCTGTAGTAACCTGAATGGAAACTAGAGGGAGGGTAGGTTTACCTGAGGAAATGGTCAATATCAATATAAAGTCTCCCTGATATTTAGCACATCCTTTAATGATGGTCTGATAAAATACAATGGACAGAAATGAAAACCATCTGGCTCTAAAGCACAGGACAAGTGATTAGTTCATTAAAGAAACTCCTTCAACCATCAGTGGTGGAAAGTAACAAAGTACATTTACTCAAGTACAATACTATATATTGCTACTTTATTTCAGAGGAAATTATTGTACATTTTACCCCTGTGGTTATCCAATATTTCACAAAATAGATTTGAAATTGGTTCCAATAATCCATATAGATTCAGTAGCAGAACTTTTTTTCATCTTTTCAACTCCCACAATCATCTCAGGACCTCTCAGATTCACTTGTGAGCCTTCGAAGAACCACTGGACTAAACTACCAGAACTGTAAAGTTAAAACCTGCAGCAGCTACAGGATAAAATGTTGCTTACACATTCATATATTAGTTTCAACAAACTAATATAATAATCTTTCTAGTCACAGGGGGCGTTTTTCCTTTATGACACATTTAGCTGATAATACTTCTATATATCTACTTCTGACTGCAGGACTTTGGACTATTTGTACTGGAATATTTTGACACTGTGTAATTCTTCCATTAAATATAGCTGAATAAATAACTAAGAAAAGAAACTGACTTTTCCGGCACTAACAATGGTGGTGGCCTCCAGTCCAAACACTGTGCAGGGGTATTAAGTAATAAAGAACTGAGACCCAGTCCGACAAGCCAAAGCACTGGCTCGGAGGGACGGAGTAGGAAAACAGCAGCAGGACTACCAGCTGGCCTCTGTGTTTGTGCTGCAGTGTTCTTGTTACAATGAGCACCGTGTTCCCATTTCTTCACATTCAGTTTACGTACACAAACATTCCCAGCTCGACAGCAGCTCCCAGGAGGCCCTGTGGTTTCCGAGCAGATTAAGTCCAGGGGAGTGTCGGTGAGGACCCTTTTTTGTAAATGAGTGTTTTGCAGGAGCGAGATAAAGCGCCGCGATACAGCCACAGCTCGGTTTGTTTGAAGGGCGTCCATTGGAAGGCAAACACGCAGCGCCTGACGACGTGGAGGCGGCCGGCTGTCGGCCCGGTAATGACACGAGTAAGACATTTGTCAGAATGAAATGGGCTCACAGATGTACGTTTGTTTGGCTTGTGCGTGCTTATGTAGGAGAAACGGAGATAATCTAAATCTCAAGTGCACGTTTATTGTCGTGTGGCTGAGTGAGTGTTTGTGTGTGTGGTGTTTAAAGGTGCTTGCATAGCTTTTCTTTTTTTCAATTTTAATGGTTTAAAAGGTTTTTGTGGGATTTATTTTCTGTGAAACTCAAACAAACCCAAACCCTCCAGCAGCATGTGGGACTGCAGTAACGCAGTGAGCCAGGTTTTCTCAGCCGGGCCACGGACTCAAACCTTCAAATAGCAGCTTGTTTCTGTTCTTATTGGACTACTGCATATCTTTACTGTTAACCCCAAATGTCTCCACAACAAAATCTTACAGATTAATTTTGAATGAGATGCAACTGAAAAGAAGTGGAAATCCTTAGTTAATCCTTTATTAATCTTTAGTTGACAACAGATGGAACAAAACCAAACAATGGATGTTGCGAGAGCCGCGACAGATTTAACAAAAGCTTTTTCCACTGATCTTTGCCAAACGCTGGGTTTGCTGCAGCTCACTGCACACAAGGACTGAGAATATCAACCAGGGCACCACCATGTGCCACAATATCCCAAAAAACAGTGGGGGTTCAGGGTAGAGGTCTTCACAGACCTGCAGTAAAAAAAAAAAAAAACATCAGGTAATATTATATTTAAAACTATAATTACAGCCTCATGGTTTTATCCCTCCGCCAACCAGCCAAGTTGCAGTATGGTCACGATCTCTCCTTCCTGAGTTACTGTGTTGAATAATAGGCAGAAGTGTTTTTGCAGAACATTATGATGTAACAGTGAAGTTGACCTTTGACCTTTTGGATATAAAACATCCTCACTTCATTTTATCCTTATAGCCATTTGAGTTTAATTGTGTCATAATTAGTGAATGAATTTGTGAGTTATGGCCGAAAATGTGTTTTGTGAGGTCACAGTGACCTTTGACCTTCGATGAACAAATTCTAATCAGTTCATCTTTGAGTCCAAGTGAATGTTGATTGTTTGAAGAATTCCCCTCAAGGCATTACTGAGTTATCACGTTCACGAGAATGGGGTGGACGTCTGTCGCCGGCGCGGAGGCATAAAAAAAACAGACTGAAAGTCCAGAAGAGACCAAAAGATCCTGATGGTGGTGGATCTGAACCTCCTTGTTGGCAAGGAACGCCTCCCCTGCACTGCATAGATCACAGCCTCCCTTTTTCTTGTGATGATTATGATGAACCATATGTTTAGAGATGATAGCAAAGCCACATGGATCCACTCAGGTATTTGACATATTGACACTACACAGACTCAAAACCCACAGCAAAAGAATGGGACCCTCCAGAGGCCAAGTTCTATTTAGTTTCAGTTCCTAGGACCCGAGCGAATCATTAAGACAAGATCTGGCCCTTTAAGCTAATTAATACACATAAAGTATTTCTATTTCCGTGCTTATCTACATATAAGACATGGGTGATATGAATATGACCGCCGTGTGTTAAAGTATTAGAGAGTTATAGTGGTAATAAAAGCTGATTTCCTTATTGATATGTAAATTTATGCAGCAGACTTCCAAATTCTAATCACACCATCACCTTTACTGGAAGAATTTATGGAGTCAAATTAAAAAACTCTATCATGTGCTGCTTAAGATGTCAGACAAAACCCACTATGCTAATGAGATGATTAATGAAGATAATTAACACCGTGATTAGCAAATATTTCGATGCCAGTAGGTGAGGTCACCTCTGCTCTATGTTGATGCAGTTCAAAATCTATTTCATCTGGTCTGTGTGAGATGGAAGTTTAAGACGCAGATGCACCCACAAAAAGACAAAATGTCCCACAGAGGTGTTGTGACGGCGGGAGATGAAAAGTGAAGCGGTGTCAACACTGCGTCTTACCTGATCTGTAGCGTTCGTCTCTGGAGCCAGAGGACCGCCGGCGGTGGTAGCGGGAGGACGAGGACGGGGTGACGGGTGTTCTCCTCTCCTGGCCCATGGACGGATCCATTCCTGAAACAGAAAGGGTTCAGATTGTAGCCTGAATTCATTTCCAGTCTAAAAGCTAGAACCCTACAAGCTTCGTCCTTTTGTATTTTCTAACATTTCCTTGTGTATTTTGTAATTTTTTTTAATATATACATACTTGTATGTCAATCATAAAAAAGATGCTCCTCATGACTCCAGAACTTGGAAATCATCACGATTTTAAGTTTTCATCAGTATCAAAGTAACGCACTGATAGTTGGCCATACAGCCATGGGTGCACTACAAAGAGGAACTGCTATTAGCTAATTCAGCATATTCCTCATGGTGCCTAATTGTAAACAAAAATGACTCAGCAAAAAATCTGGAACATGTACCAAACAGAGTCACCACAAACCAGCCAAGACACATGCAAACACACCCTGTGTAGGAAATCACACTTCCTTCAAGAAAGTTCTCTTCCTTCAGGGAAATTCTGAAAAAAACAGATTTTTCAGTTGTTGTTTGTTTGTTTATTTGTTTTACAGTGTAACAAATAATAAAGCTCATACGAATCAAAATGATACCTGTTAACATAAAGTTAAATTCAAAGTACAAAATTCTTTTGAAAATTTCCCAGTTCAACTTTATTTATCCCTGTAAGCACAGGGGTCACCACCCAGATCCCAGATATTCACATAGATGGAAGAAAAGAAGAGAGATAGAGATACAGCTACTGAGACACACACAGACTCACAGAGAACAACACAAAAAAAAAAAACCTCCCTACACTCCAATCAATAAGTCTGATGATAATAACCACCCTGTTACTGACAGCTACGACCACTCCAGAGCTGCTGATCTATGAGCATCCATCTCAGCTTCACACATCCAGCCTCGTATGTCTTCATTAGAGCTCTCAGCGTGGCTCGGAGTATCACTGCTGCTGCTGCTGCTCGGGAGAAAAGCTAAAAGTTGATTAGCCGACCATATAACGACTACCAGCCGGTGGAGGAATATATGAGAGGAGTGGGAAATACCTCGCCTCTGTGTTTTCCTCTCGGGAGTCTGGATGGATGGATCATCCCCCTCCCCCCCTCCTGACTCACTCTTCTCTCTCCTTTCCCTTTATTTAGTTTCAGTTCATACCAGCACACTCGATTCATACTCTTTATTGGGTGGGTGAGGTTTGTAACATGGCAACTGATGGGAATTCACAAGGAAGTAGCAACATATATATACATACATATATAACTTATAATAAATACATATCTACACAAGGAAGTAGGTGACATTCAATAAATAAATCATCCAACATTATCTTCATTCCCCAGTTACACTCTGTCCATCTTGTATTCTCAACGACAGACACTTCAAACACGGCACAGACTCACACACAGGAACACAGTGAAGCCTTAAAGGAAATCAATGCGGGCCTCTCATTCATTCCTTTTCTATCAACCGCTGCCAATAGAGAGACGCTAAGTCCAATAAATAAGTGAGGCGGATGAAGACGACACCCATGAGACCCACCAACAGCACCTCAACTACCCTGCAAAGTGACATCCACAGATTGTAAGATCCCAAGTGTTTTGCTGCACTGCCACCACTTGCTTGGTTTAGACTGGATGCCATGTTTGACATAAATAAGAAGCTACTGTACTGTGATGGCAAAAAAAAAACAAATAAGAGAAAAAAATACTTTAAAAGTACAAAATGATCAACCATAGGATACGGCACTGGACTAGAACACAAAGGATATATACAAAATGCTAAATAGAATGTATACATAAGAAAAAAGGATATTGCAAATAAGTAATCTAACATATATAAATGTAATATACAGTCCAAGATATAAAAGCATGTGCTCATATTTTCATATTACATTCATCCAAACAAAGAGGTTAATGATACATTCAATTTATAGATCAGATAGATGTAATAAATTAATCTAAACACTCCTGCACATTGGTACATATACTTATTTATTTATCTATATCAATTTTTCCACTGTGTACTTGTGGAGTTTCTGTGTATTTTTGTCTTTTGTATTTCTTTGTATTTTATTGTATTTTAATTCAGCTGCAATGACAGTTTAATTTCCCTCTGGGGATTAATAAAGTCATCTATGTATCTAAATGTGTATGAAGGGAAATAACAGTTGACATTTGCATGATGAGTAATGGAAGATCTTTCTTTCAATTCTGTAAAAGTGTTCCCAACAGTGTAAATATCTTAGAAACATGAAACACTAAAGTTGATTTATTTTTTTACTTTACAGACTCTCGGCTGTTCTTGGTGTATAACTGAAGGTTTGTAGTTGTCATGGTCTGATATGGCAGACACCTTGTGTTAGTTTTGTTTTGGACTTTCTCACTTCATGTTTTATTTTGTAATAAGGTTTCCTTGTGTGTCTCAGTGTTTTTGCTTCCTGTCTTGGTCTTGTGTGGTGATTGTCTGCCCCGCCCTAATGTGTTTCACCTGTGTTCAATCAACCTTGCCTCCCTTGTCTATAAAGTCCTTGTGCTCCCCTTTGTCTGTGTCGGTTTGTCTGTTGTCTTCACGTTTGTTCATGTCTGGTCATGTCACGTTCACGTCTGGATTTTGGATAATAAACCTTCCTGCACCGTCTCCCATGCGCTGGCTGCATTTGGGTCTTACTTACCGCTAAAACCCTGACAGTAGTGTAGTTTCCAGATCAAAGGCAGTGAAGGAAAGCTAACAAAGGTCTGAATTAATCATTAAAAAAAAAAATCACGCTACATGACTCTCAGCCTGTTCTGAATATGAGATGGACTGTGTAGCAGTGTTCTCAGAGGGAATGTACATAAATGCTGAAGAATGTTAAGAGAGTGGTTGATCTCATTTGGGTTACACCAGTGGGATTCGCTTCAAACCAGGATGTAGTCCTAGCCCCTCTTACTACAAACAAACAAGAGTTGTGAATATTACAGCACTTGGACTGACGACTAACTCATTCATTAGACAGGTGTGCCGATGGAACATCTGAACTCTGGAACCAAAACAATTCTTTTATCAATATCTTACTTTGAATAATGTGAACCATATTTTTCATTTCAAGTGTACATACAAGAACTTTGGCTGAATAAAGTATTATTTGAAAGAATATGCCAATAAACAGTTGAGTTTCTCTGGTGGTCACCCAAAGATCAGGGCAGTATTAGTTTGGAACTTAACCTCGTTTGTCAGAAATGTGGAAAGTCGGCTAAAAACATAATGGAAAATTTAATGTGGGAAGGTGGCTGCCAAGTGAGAGTGTAGTCATAATTATGTTTTACTTACTCCATAAAATTTGCAGGGTCGGACAGATGAACACCTCACCTTTGTGAAACCACCTTTTCATTGCCCAAATATTGATGAAAATGCCAACACTCCTGTTTCACCAAACATGGATGTTTTATGTTTTTAGTGTTTTATGACATAAACTTGGCTTTTGTCCATTTTGCCCTTCTCATTACAAATGAACTGCGCCACAATTAGCTTCCGATATACACTCAGTTGTCAGTTTCTTGGGTACACTCAGTGCACTTTGTACACTCAATGCAGTGTAATACAGTAATAAATCCTCCCTTTGTGCGTTGATTGAATGAGGGTTAGGCTAAATGGCCAAAGCAACTCTCTGTTTAATGCAATACAGTTCAATAGCAGCACAAACTGCAGCCTCACAAAGCTGAATCAACACCTCTCTAAAACAGTTTTAACAAAAACTGAACCTTATAACTTCCATGAAGGAGGATTTGTTGAAAAACTAGGCCAAATGGGCATATTTGTTAAGACTACTCACAAAACATCCTTATTGGACAAAACCAAGGTCAACACCTACCAACAGTCGTTTCTATTACCACCAGATTATGTTTGTTATACATTTAGAACTGTCACCAGACACGTTTGTTTGTCATTACTGACAGGATACAGCCTTAAATGTGGGCAGCAACATTCTTGTAATGACATAGATGTTACACATATTTCATTTGCTTTTCCTGTTAGAGAAGAGTGATAAGTCATGAGTGTTTATTCCAACTCGATAAATATTCAATCACCGTGTCAGATTCTGATGTGCACTGCCAATGACAATCAAACCAGAAAATGCGGATATTCAACTAACAAAACAACGCTCACAAATTCCATAAAGTTGGACTCAAAAGTCAGTGAGTTATTCAGGTTAGTCTGAGTGTGGATGACATATGGGTCCAAACTGGGTTTCAAACTATTCCCTGGAAATGCGTCTTTCATTTGGTACTAAAACAGAAACAAAGTTCAAGTGGAACAGCGCCATTGCCAATTAATTAACTCCTATTTACTGCTTGTGCCAGCGAGTATTTTAGTCAGGCCACAGCAGGTCAGCAACAAGTGAATAAAATGGAGCTTGTAATTTCAAGGAATTTCCTATAATGAGGACCACGTTTCATCATTCTCTTTCAGGAAACACCTTGAAAATTATTCAGAGCAGACCCACAAAATAAAGTGTTACTCATGTAGTGTCACCCCTGAAACAGCGGGGAGGTAACAAAGAAGGTTAGGATAGGAGTTATCTGTTGGTGAAACATAATATATTTATATCACTATTTCAAACGGAAGTATGTCCCTTACCCTTCACTGTTTTGAGGGGTTGTGGTGACTAGTTACCACGTGGTATAAGGTTTTACAGACCAAAGAAATACAGAAAATTCATAAAATATCATAAATATCATACTATTTACCTCCCCAGTATTGGGAGTGGTGGGAGCTCTATCAATAGCTACATCATAAATTTCCAAAGCACTTTTTCTTACATGGTTTAGTTTTCATACATAGTAACGAAGGTTTCTGTCTTCATAAATTTTTCACAATACTGCCTATTCTTTGACTGACAGGAGACCAAAGCAAAAAAACGCCTCATACCCAAAGGGATCTTCAATAACTCCTGTCTATTTGAGCTTACAAACCTCAGCTGTGGCTCCTTCTGAAACCCAAAGTCCAGCATAGAGAGGCTGAGTGAATGTGGTCTGGACTCTGTGGAGGAGAGTCATGGTTTCAGAGACGCTGTAGAAGGACAGAACACCTGCACTGTGATCCAGGTACACTCCTACTCTCGAGGACAACGTGCCTTTGATCGGAGTTTTTATGTTGCTATGCCTGAATTCATAGCTATTTTTGAAACAATCTAATGCCCAAGACTTGTCATTTTGTCCAAAGACACATTCACTGAATTCCCCTGCTCTGCTGATATTCTTGTATGCGACTGCTACTAAAACTCCTCTCCCACTCCTCTCCACCTCCCAGTAGCAACATCCAGTTAGACTCTCTCTACTCAGGACCTGCCAGGAATATGCAAACCTTTCTGGATGAAGAAAATATTTCTGTTCTTCTCTCATGTATGCTACCTCTCTTTTTCCCTTCGATATTGACAGATGTGTATTTGCTGTGTTTGGATCCAGTGTAATTTCACATGCATGTTTTAAGAATTCAGCTCTGGTCCTGGGCTCTGGTTGGGACTGGTAAATATCCACTCTCGGTGAGATGTTTGTCCATGTGTCTCTCAGAATGTCCTGTAGTTTATCTCTGAGCTGTGACACAGCTGCTGTCACACCCTCAAAGTAGCTCAGAGGACGGATATTGATGCTGGATGAGTCTGTAGATTCACTGAGTCGTGACAGTGAGGGGTAGTTGTGTAGAAACTGGTTGTGATCCTCTGTGTGTGAGAGCTGCTTCAGCTCAGCGTCTTTCCTCTTCAGCTCAGTGATCTCCTGCTCCAGCTTCTCCTGAAGCTCTTTGACTCGACTCACTTCAGTTTCCTGCTGGGATCTGATCTGCTGCTTCACATCAGAGCTTCTTTTCTCCATGAGACGGATCAGCTCAGTGAAGATCTTCTCACTGTCCTCCACTGCTTTATCAGCAGAGCCATTGATAGCCTCCAACTCCTGTTGAAGCACCTTCACATCTTTGTCTCTGTCCTGGATTCTCTGCTGGATTTGTTGTCGCCTCAGCTGGAGCTCTCTCTGCCACTCAGTCCTTTCTGCTGCAGCTGAGACTGTGTCGTGTCCTTTATGTTCATCCACAGAGCAGAGATAACAGATACACTGCTGATCAGGGCGGCAGAACATCTTCATCACCTCATCATGACGAGAGCAGATGTTCTCCTGGAGCTTCTTGGAGGGCTCCACCAGCTTGTGTTTTTCAAATGTGAATTGAAGATGAGGTTGGAGGTGTTGCTCACAGTAAGAGACCAGACACATCAAACAGGATTTGACAGCTTTCAGTTTTCTCCCAGTGCAGAAATCACAGGCCACATCTTCAGGTCCAGCATAGCAGTGATCAGCAGGAGCAGCTTGGAGTCCAGTCTTCTTCAGCTCCTCCACTACACATGCTATCATGGGATTTTTTACCAGGGCAGGCCTCGGTATGAAGGTCTGCCTACAGTGAGGACAGTTGAACATCCCCCTATGATTCTGTTCATCAAAGTGGTCCTTGATGCAGGTCATGCAGTAGCTGTGACCACAAGGAACAGTCACTGGATCATTCAGTAGATCCAGACAGATTAAGCAGCAGAAATTTGCTCGATCAAGTTGAATCCCTTGTGCCATTTTACTTTATTTTTGTCTGATTACAAAGTGATAAATGACTGTGGGAGCTTGACTTTATTCGAACATATGAGAAGGGGAGGGCTTTGCAGGCTTTGCTTCATTCCAGAATGAGGAGTGGCTCTGAAGAGGAAGGTTGTACTCGGTTTGAGTAAAGTCTGATCAAACAGGTTTGCGGCATTATGGTAATAGTCAGAACAATGGTATGATGATTATAGAAAATGAATCATACTGCATCAGATGGTTAAATGGAGGTGTGTACCAAAAAAAAGCTATTTTTAGGTTATGGGTTAGACACAATTAGTTTGTGGTTCGGTGTGGTTAATATCAGAGTAAGGATCAGCAAGTCAGTGGCAAATGCCATAACCACAGGGAATGTTGTATCTATGTTCTCAGCAGTACAACTACTCTTGGAACTGGAAGAACACGTGAATCCAACCAACATACCCTGTATGGAGAAGACTATGCCAGAGAACTCCATTAAGACACTTTTCTCCTGAGTGGTTGTGGATTGGGAAATGATTAACTTTGCTTTGCGTCATTGCTATAGGGAATGGAAATGAATTAAATGCCACTGATATTTGGGAATCACACTGCAAACTGAAGTCTCTGCTGACAGTGAGAAGCAGGATGATGGCTGTCTCAAATGAATGGGTTGAACGTGGGTTGAACAGACCAAAGGCATGTCAGGTGTCTGAAAAGGGGGTAACACTCTGTGTGTTCTGTTGGGTAAACTGTCAGAATATGAGGTCTACTGGTCCTTGTATAAATGGAACAAAAGCTCATGTCCACATTTCTTGGTAATTAGTCACCCATGGTCTCGGTGTTGGACTCCAGGGAGGTTGCACTTTTCCAACAATTCTGTTTCAGATTTGATTGTCTCATGCCAAAGCAAGGGTAAGATGAAGATGGCGCATTATCCATATGTTAGAGTGACAAAGTTTGTTTGCTTCAGGAGGTGTCTAAACCCATCCTTGGAGACAGCATCAGTATTTCAGATACCCATGGGCAGATCAGAATAGAGTTGTTCCTCCTTCAAGTTTAATGGATCAATGGGGATCAAGAAAACCCCTGGACACCTCCCTGACGAGGTATTGTGGACACATCCAACAAGTAGAGACTCTAGGGCAGAACCAAACCATGATGGAGGGATTATACCCCCTCTGGTCAAGCCAACCATAAGGACCTACAAAGATAAGGTGGGGGAAGTGCCTGTGAAGATGTGTGGATTGACTTTACATCACTAATGCCCAGGTCTAACAGGGTGAGAAATTATTTCATCTCTCCTGCAATCAAATTACTAGATGCCAATGATAAAAATTGGTGGATGACGATGGTGATGTTGTTTCAGCCCTCGATGATTGGCTTAGATGATGATGGCTTGATGTACTAAATTTTGCGTAATGTAAGTGTCTGTGGTGAGTTTTAGCAATTGTTTTATATGCTTTGTGCATTTTATTGCATACTTTATTGGAAAAGTAAAAAGTCAAAACCCAAAGGTTTTTAAAACCTTCCTACAAAATCTATGGGTGACTTTATCATCGCTAAACCTAAGTTCTTCTTGTCTATGACTAAAAACTGTACGTTATCTAGTTTACTTTCAAGTATTTTCACTTCCTTTTTGGCTGATGTTGAGAGGACAGCGTGCTGGATCTCATGATATCAAATTTCTTTCTGAGTAAACTAAGCCTCATCTTTAATGTGAAACCGTGTAAATCTGAGTAACTGAGGGAAATCCACTCCACTGAACACTGTAAATGATTTAATCAAACTATATCAGCCTGACTGTGCACTGAGCAGAGCAGATTAACAGGTCTTAGAGCTAAATCATATCACAGGGAAGGGAATGTGTCACCGGTGGGTGTGCGTGTGTGTGTTTGACAGGGAGAAAGGGAGTATTGTGTTGTAAGTGTAAGGGGGTCTGAAAATGAGAAAAAGGGGGGTATTGTGTGCATTTAAGTGCACAAATGTGTGTTACGGGTGCATGGGAATAAAAAATTGATTTGCAGGACTGAGAAACGAATAAGAACTGTTGGGTGAGGATGTTACAGCTCAGTGTGTGTGTGCATTGCAGGGTGTGTGTGTCATCCGGTCCCCCATAGCGAATTGGGGACGACCCCCCACCGGGCTTAGATGTGAATACCACACATTTTCTTCATCCCACACCCCTCATTCCTTCCCATAATGCACTTCCTGACATTCCCCCACCCTAAGAGGACGCACACACATGCATACACATACACACACACACACACACACACACACACACACACACACGCACACACACACCAGTATGTTCCAGTAACAGCTTTGGCAGTGCCAGTGTGTCTGCTGCTCTCCAGTGGCGCTCCAGTCCCATCCTCAGCAGTCAGTCAGTCAGATGCGGTGTGTTGCCCGCTCCCCTCAACAAGTCTTACTGTAAAATGGACTTTTAGATCATTTGCGGTTGGACTGAATCACATCCATCTGTGTTGTATTACCAAAAACTACTCAGCTGGTGAGGATTTATTAAATGTGCAAGGATCAGAATGCTTTAGGAAGAAAACCAAACCCTGACAGGGCATATTGAGAGTACGGAGGAGAAAAACATCTGATTAAATAACTGGGTTTTCTTGTAACATTGCAGTTTCAAACCCTGCAGCCCTCCTAAGACCACAACAGTACCTGCTTCATATTTCTCTCTGTGTAAAACCAGCAGTTTCATTTCCAAATTGTTCATAACTTTGGCCTTTTGGCAAAGTCAAAAAGTCTTTTCACTGTGTGTTAAATATCTTGGACAAAGTGTCCACGGGAAGAAAAGAAATAATGCCCTCAACCAAAGAGGAAAAAAGAAAGAGTTGGATTTCATGTACAAAAAACCACCTTAAGTCCACTCTTTCACTCCTTCAAAGACAGACATGTCAGAGTGTAAAATAGTCCCGTTCAGAAGAGGACAAACAGTCGAAACTGAGAGAATAGACTTCGACAGATTCACGGTGGAAAACTTGTTGCTGCTTTGTTGTAAGAAGGTCAGCACCTCATCCATGTCGATCATCATCACCAAACATAAGTTACTTTTCAGTGCTTTTTAAGTGTGAGCAGTCGAACAACAAGAACAGTCGTCCTGGTCAATGTTACGACAGAAATAATAGTGTGTAATATGCCAAAATAGTAAAAGAGTAAAAAGAGTAAAAAGAGTCTTTTAAGTTTTTAAACCTTTAATGTGCATATAATTCTTTTCTCACTCTATCTATTGTTTGCATGTTGTTGTTTTAATTTGCAACGTTTTCACATCATCTGTTTGCCTTGATCTTATCTTGATCATATCTATCACAAGAAGTGATATTTCATATATGTAGGTAAAACCAGAAAGCTTTCTTCTCATTTATTTGCTATAATTTTGTATATTTCTAAAAGGTGCTGTGATTACACACGTCAGCTCAGTGCTTCAGGAGCTGGCATTTAATGAAAGTGCAGAAAAGTCAGTTTTACCTGGTGCTTGAGGGAAATAGGCTCCAATCAGCTTGGATCGCTTCTTCTCATAGCCCTTCTGTGTGATATCACCTGCCACAGAAAGACAGAGAGAAAGCCACATTAACTTTCCACATTTTATTTTATATTTATTTATCTATTTTTTATAACTATATATTATTAAACAACACATGTAACATTAAATACAATAATATAATTATGTATCACTAAAATAAAAAGCATAAAATACAACAATAATATCGATAATATTGATAATATCGTGATATACGGGCTGGACTGTATGGAGATATCACCCCGGCCTAACTGAATTGTGCGTATGCCGCTGAAAGCCGCAGTCCAATACAACACAACACAGGGAGAAGGAGAAAGCTGTTTGACTTATCACATTCTGCTTCGTCATTCTTTCCACTCAACCAAGACCAGATGGTGCAGTGTGTGTGTGTGTGTGTGCGTAAGTGTGAAGCTCAAAGTTTTGCAGGTGCACTTAATTCACCATTCACGGCGTGACGAACCACCTCAAAACTTGCTGACCGATCTCCCCGAGGGAAGTGATAAATCAAGGCTATACATGAGGTGACATCAGCAGATTTCCACGCAGCACAAAGCACATCTGAATCCAATAGCTCTTTTATAAATGATTGTTGGCGTTGCGTTTTAACCCCCGGGGAACACCAGGCGGGTGGAGTTCATTTCCAAAGAAAGTTTTGAGAGGAGAGAGAGAGAGATGGGATCTGAATGTGTCTAACCCCACCCATCTCATACTCCACGTGATAGAAAACAAAGACTACAAGTCCCTGACAGATACTTCCTGGGTGACATAATGCAGCAATTTTAGAAGCAGAAAGCAAAGGAGAGAGGCATCATGGGAATTGGAGTTTTAAATGCCTACAGAAGCACCAGAGACATTTTCTTTGACAGCGAATGAACAGAGAAAAAAATGTTAAAAAGTAATGAAGGGTTGAGTGTGAAAGCAGAGGACAGGCAGACAGCGGGGGGACGTGGGTAATGCAGTTTGTAATGTGTTGAGTGGCAGTGATGGGTTTGTCTGTGCAGATTAACAATCAATACCTGTCTGTCAAACTGGTAATGAGATTGGAGGGATTGAGCGGGGGGTGGGGGGTTGGATAGGGGTGGGGGGCAGTCAATGGGGAACAAGCTTTAATAAACATGAGTGTATTAGATGGAAACACTCTGGAACTGTTTGTTTTCCCGTCTTACTGAGGAGGAGGAGGAGGAGGAGGCAAGAAACAAAGGAGGACAAAGAAGGTGAGGAAACAACATATTCCTACAATATTACAATGCTAGTCTCATCTCATCATACTTGTGTTTCATTGATTTATGTCTGTCTCGTGTTGGTGGTTAAAAATATAAGAGCCTCAGTATCTTGGTTAAGTCTGGACATTTGGATTCAGCCTGAGAGGAGGAGGGAGGGAGGGAGGGAGGGAGGGGAGCGAGGACAAGAAACAGGAAGAGGAAAACTTTTTTTAAAAATGATGATGATGAATAAATTGACTTTCTTCGCTCTTTGATGCCTTTTAAACATGATAATTATTTAATAATAATAATAATTATTATTATTATTATTATACAATTATTTTGTCCACCTCCTACACTTGTGTCAAACACAGCCATGCTTCCTTATCATGCATAAACACTTTGCTCACGTTACAATTTAATCACAGCATTTCATTTCATTTTATTTGAATGTCCATGTTCCACGCTGCACTTGTTATGGGGGAACTGCGCTTCAGTTTTGTGTATTCGTCTATAATCGGACCACTCTGGTGCCCCATGTGTATATTGTTCTATGACAGAATAAAAGCAAACCACTTAAATGCCCAAATCTTAATAGTAAATATCATGCAGCCTAAATGTGAGTTCTCACACAGTCAGTTTTTGTGAAGATGACGACTGATGAAGAATTCACGGATTTCTATGAGTCGAGGATGAAGTAAAAGATCAATTCAGAGAAAATCAGAGTGAAGAGCGTCGCCTGACTCGAGCTGTGGAAGGTGCGTGAAACGGACCAGAGTGACGCTAAATCTGCAGCGGATTTGTCGAACATGGAAAAAGCTGTTTGCGCGGCTGACTTGACAAATCCTTCTTAAACACACAAACATGTGACTAACTGGCTCGGATCAAGAAACCAACTGTGGGCACAGACGTCATCGGTGACAATGTCAGCAATGTGTATGTGTGTGTGTGTGTGTGTGTGTGAGATTGTGTCTCCAGTAGCGTGAAGATGAGGCACATGGCAATAATTAGCATCTCTGGTAGGGGATCTAAGTTCCCTGCAGAGAGAAAGAGAAACTGGCAAAAGCTTCAGTTTGAAAAGACAAAAAAAGAGACTTTGAGGGAAGTGGAGACACATGGGACAGAGAGAGGGAGATACCGACTTGTTGCTGTGAGACACACACACACACACACAAACACACACACACACACACACACAGTGACCAACCATCTTGACTTAATTGGGATTATCCGGAAAGAAGAGTCAGAGAGAAATGAAAGTGTCAGTCAGAGAGCTGATTCAGTTAGGTACTGTAACAGTTCAGTGTTAGCAATCTCCATCCAATCTCACCCACTGAGACAGGCAGTCAGTCAGCCTGCCAGTCAAACAGTCACTCAGTGAGACAGGCAGCAAATCAGCCGGTCAGGAGCCAATATATGGAGGATAA